AATTTACTCAAAAAAATGTTCACCAGAAACTAAAATAAATGAGTTCTTAATGAGGTATATTATTTTTCTTAACATCAATAAAAAAAGAAATGATAAATATGGGATGTAAACATTGTAGAAAAACTAATACAAGAGAACCTAAACCACCAAGATAAAAATTGGAGAGATCAAATTTATTAGATTATATCTTTTGCCTTCTTTGTTTCCTTTAAAATGGAGGGATCCATCAAGGAGCTTTTGAATCCTTTAAAAAAATAAAAAAAAATAAAAAATAAAAAATAAAAAAAAAGAGAAGCAAAACTAAGATTTTGTACTTGGGAGTTGTTTTATCCTTCATGGGCCCATGGTATATGTATGTTTCAATAACTTCGTGTGTAGATCTTGTTTAATTTCCCAAAAACGATGTTATCCAAAACGTGCTTCATTTTTGTAAAACAGTGTACCAGTGATATAGCAATTTTAAGAAATTTGATTTTATGGGTTGGATGGAAGTTAATCTCTAATCAACTTCATCTGAAAAAAAAAGGGTGTAGGAAGGAACACATCTAGCTATGCTTGTTATCAAACGTTAACATTTTCAAAAAAAAAAAAAAATGTATATAAATAGAATGTTTTACATAAGGCAATAGTTGATCGTGTTCTTCATTAATATGGTAATTGTATGTAAATAATTATTAGAGCTAAACAGTGAAAAGGCAAATGAATGAATTAATTAAAAAATGACTAAAAAGTGAATTATTCATTATATTACTAAGCATCCATTAACGTGTAATATACTTTCAAAAATTTTGTTCTAATTTAGAAGTTTTATTTCTAAATCATTTTCCTAAAATATATCCTATACATGACTTTAGTAATTGAGCATATCTACTTTGTTACAAAACTTAAACCCAACTTCAAGTTTCAAAATGCTTAGATTTTTTTAAAGTGTAAATATATAATATTAATGGCAAAACTATTTACCATATTTGCAAATCGCAATATATCCTTCAACATATCTATATTTTTGAAGACCTCGATGCATCGATACAATCTATGAGACATTGTAACATTATATTAATTTTTTCAATCTAATCAATATCAATATTTTTTAAGTTGCGATACATTCTTTTTTATCTCTGTTTTGTTCCTTACCTATATATAAGTACACACACATTGGCTACTTCTGCTGCTATCTGACAATCTTCTCCTTCAAAACCCATTTGGGAGTTGGATGAGCACTCTCTGTCACCTTGTCCTATGTTATACATCAAGGTAATCAGAGGTGAGTGATAAGCTGTTTCACTCATTTCCTTGCACCAAATGACATGTACACTTTGTTCATCAGTTCTTGGAGTTACAGACACTGCAAATCGAACCCATTGGAAGACTTCTAGAATATTTCAGACTGACTGAATTGTTTTTTTTTTAATCCCCAGAAATGGCGGCAGTGGAAGCAGATGATGAGGAGGATCTTCTTGCTTTTGAAAAGGTCAGCCTTACAACGTTGTCTTGCTGTTTGCCCAAAAGAAAACATGAGTTTTCCAAATATTCATTCTTTTGATATGTATGTGTGTGTGTTTGAATGTGATTGTTTTATAATTCACTTAATGGGTGTGAACCTTGTGATGTTCTTTTCACAATCATTGTGGGATTTCATTTAGGGGTTATTTGGGAAGTTTTAGATTAGTATAGTTTTTGACTTTTTACAAAAAAATGTGAAATATAGGTTGGGTTTGAAGTGATGTGGTAGAGAGATGATGTGACCCAAATAAGATGATTGTGACTCAAATAGGATAATGTGCTAAAATAACGAAAATAGCATGTGCTATTTTAACAATGCCAAACAAGCACTTAGTTTGGATTTATCTATGGATGTCATTAGTGTATATTCCAATTTTTTTGTTGAAGCATTTCATCATAAACATATTGAGCAATGCAAGTGCCTACAAATGTTCATATTCTTTAGAATGGTGAGGTGCATATTTATTTTGATATAGAAGTTAGCTGTATAGATAAATTGTTTCAATGCTAGGGCTAATGAAAGATAACTTGTTAAATTATGTGTGTTTATTAGTTAATAACATTGTTTCAGTTTGGCACCCTTGGTTCACTTTATGTTCCTAGGTTCTTTGATGACAAAGTCATCTGCTTGATAGGTATATTACAATGACTTCATCATCTATGTCCCATACATGAGGCTGTAGTATATGTACAATTTTTTGTCCTTGGGTGTGGAAGGAGTGAAAGGGAAACTTTGATTGTCCATTTAATCAATTTGTGCAGCTCATGTCATGTTATCAGATTAGATGAATCTGACAACTAAATACCACTCTCTTCCCAAACAATCACACCTAACTCCATATAACATAGATGGGGTCAGTGTTCCTAGAAAATGTTGATACCCTAGCAAATTACATTTTGGAACGCACGTTTCGAAACATGGTATACTTCTATTCCAAAATAGTAAATTTAGCTATCCAAAGCAATCTCAAAAGTTTTTTTCCAATATATTTCTTTAAGGTTTCCTTCGGAGTTAAAAAAAAAAAAATCAAGTATAATGAACTAAATTCTACGGTGAGTGAATTTTTGACATGACAAATTGTCAAAAATAGATCATAGTATTCATAGAAATGTGTTGCTAAATGATTACTTTGGAAGAAAAAACTTGCATTTTGTTGGCTATTTAATTACTGTAGAGTAGAGGTACCTTAAATTCTTATAGTGTGAATTATACAAATCTATCCCTATCATACCACAATTTAGACGCATGTTGCATACTGTGTTCCCTTTCCCATTCCCATTCCTGTTCCACATACCGGAATGATCCACATTCTTGGTAACATAAGATGGGGTTAAATTAGTTAGGTTTGTTGTTAAAGGCAATATGCATCAGCCTTTGTTGTCCTACGCCCTATCTGTCACGACCCAAACCCGCCCCTATAGGTTTAGGCTGTAACTGACCAATAATCCTGGATTACCCAGCCTCAAAGACAGAATTAATAAAAATATTTAATTAATAACGAGGCCAGACATCTTAAGACATCTCATTAAGGTTTGGTTTGGTTTGATTTGGTTAGCTATGCATATATGGCATATCAAGACATCTCATTCAGTTAATAACTCACATCCATTCATATATAGAAGATAGTACTCAGCCAAGACCATTCACAAGATCATTATCATACAAATTCGAAAGCTTATATACAAACACACAGTCAACATGACCAACAAAACAAAAAGGACAAAAGCCTCTTGCGTGAGGCATCCTTGGCTGACTCCTCAAAACTTGGTATCCTTTCACAAGTTCACTAGGGCTATGGTTCCATATCTCGCTGCTCCTCTACATGCATATATATATATATATACGGAGTGAGCTAACACTTAGTGAATAACGTCAGAGTAAAGAGGTTATATGAATGAGTTCTTTATATGACAGTAAATCACAAGATAACCTCATTACATAGCAGAATGACCTCAGGTCCATTACAAAGCTGAACGACCTTGGGTCCACAGCAGAACGACCTCGGGTTCATAGTAGAACGACCTTGGGTCCAATACAACTTTATAAAACGGCCTCAAGCCCAACACATAAACGGCCTCAAGCCCAACACATAGCAAAATGACCTTAGGTCCAACAAATATTTATATTACAGATAACATACCGAGCAGACAGATAGAAGGCTCGTTCATACTTTCAAATCGTAAGTGCAGAAAACTTACCACATTGGTATAGTCAAAAAATAGAATAGGATAAAATATCTTTACTAAGATATTACTCACCTCGAGTAGGTTAATGTTCTTCCACAATGTTCAAACCTACACATTTCATATATACACACATAGGAACACATTGTTCGAATCAATAATTCATCTTCTCTTTCTAATTCAATCATTCATACTGGTTCTCACTTATTAGTTCCTTATTGAGTCACAAATCATGCCTAGAAATGTTCCAGAGAAGATGAGAACGAAGATATGAACACAAAAGAACCTGTTAAAATATGCTGAAATAATGGTCTTTGCTCGAGCCAACTATTGGTCGCTCGAGCAGTCACAGAGGTTTACAAAAATATTGAATGGGTCTGATTTGCGCTCGAGCTAACATTTTGTCGCTCGAGCGGTCCAACAATATGCAGAGGGTTTGCTCGAGCGCACACTTGGTTGCTTAAGCCATCTGTAAAGACTGTAAAAGTATTGGGAGCTCGTCAAGTTTGCTCGAGTGCACACTTGGCCGCTCGAGCGGTCTGCAGATTTTCTGGGTTTTCCAGAATAGAGTTTGAGCTCCAAAAATGCAATTTCAAGGCCTTGGGTCACGTATGGCTTGTTCAAAAACACAAAGTTACTGTTAAAATCCACCTACTCTCCACCTACTTCACCCACTTAAACCTACTCCACTAAACCTAACCCACTAAATCCACATACTCTCCACCTACTTCACCCACTTAAACCTACTCCACTAAACCTAACCCACTACACCACTACCACCTCCACTTCACCTACTTCTTACCTACTACACACTCACCCTCTTCTATATATAGGAATCATGAATCATTGTAATAAAATCAACAACATCAATGTATCAGATCTAATATCAATCAATAATACAATTCTCTATTTCTCTTTATACATCAAATTTAACAGAGGGTTTGCTCGAGCGCACACTTGGTTGCTTAAGCCATCTGTAAAGACTGTAAAAGTATTGGGAGCTCGTCAAGTTTGCTCGAGTGCACACTTGGCCGCTCGAGCGGTCTGCAGATTTTCTGGGTTTTCCAGAATAGAGTTTGAGCTCCAAAAATGCAATTTCAAGGCCTTGGGTCACGTATGGCTTGTTCAAAAACACAAAGTTACTTTGGAAAACATGTATACACGACCCCTCAAAAATCATTTGCTCAAAATTACTTTAAATCCACCAAAATTGAACCCAAAAACTCATGCATGTAAGTTTTTTCCAAGTTCTTTTCTCATAACTCATGAGTTTAACAAACTTGAGCTCAAAAGCTCCATGCATGTACAAAATCTTTTTCCAAAACATGAATTTGAGAGTTAACACATGATGGATGAAACATGCAAGTACAATATAACTCATAATTTCAACATGGATGCTAGAATTCAAACTCAACATGACAAAACTCAACCTATACTTGCATGCATGTAAAGCTTCTTCATCTCTTGACTTTAATTAACAAAAGATTACATATAATCCATGAACATAACTCTAAAACATATTATCTTCAAGAATTGAGAGGTAAACGCTTACCTAGAGCCTTCAAACACACAAATTCTAGCACAATGTTGACCAATTCAAGCTATATCTTCAAATTCTCCTTCAATCTCTACACTTTCTCTCTCTCTAAAAGTGAAGTCTTAGATTTTTGCACTCAAGAATGAAGAGAATTGAGCTCAAATGAGCTTAAGGCTCATATTTATAGTTGGAGTGGCTTAATGCAATAATTAGAACATTAGATCAATTAACCACAACTTAATTAATCAATCTGAATTAATTTTTAATCAAACTTGTCATAAGGTTCTAAAAATTCCAATTAGTCTATTCATGTACTCAATTTTGGTTTCTGACGCCATTGAGGCCTTCAATTTCAGATTCAGAGCAGAAATCACAACAGATAATTTTCAAATCAGATAGATATACTCAAATTAATCACATGGTATATATCATAATTAATAATTAATACATACTTGAATAAATATAATCATGATATGAATGTTGGGGTCGTTACACTATCATTCAAGGCTATTTTGGCTTCAATTTGAGAACTGCAATGAATGCCTTTTACAACTAACAGCACAAGACCCCACATTTTTTCCTGGTGAGTTTGATTAATCATAGCGTTCTTTCAAGAATTTCGTTTGATTCTTATCAATCTCACTCTTATTTGGTAATTTGGTTTAATTGCAATGCAACGGGTTAAGTTGAATAGCCATGAGAGTGTTATTAGCTCTTTTAGATTCTGCTGTTCAAAATCCTCATTTTTCTCTTATTTGATTCATCATTCATCATTTTTATATTTGAAGCCATATTTCAGTGTTCTCCTTTCCATGGTAATCATCCATGGTAATCAGAAATTTCTCATTGTCAATGTAATCGTGGTAACTTTTTCCACCAATACGTTTCTATGCCCGAATTATTTAGTTTTTATGATGGTGATTTGTTCTGGTGGTTCCTTGGCTTTTTGTAGGTATTCCTGGTTTGCCACTGTAGTCAGATACATCCTTAAAAATTTGTTGTTTTCCTGATGTGCTGTTCCCCTGTGCCAGCTAGCCAGTAGCTATTTCCGATCTTTACCCTATTAACTGACATCCTGAGCTGTTGAATTCATGCAGAAGAATCTTTCACCATTACAACAGGTGTCCATCCTATCGACGGAAATTTCTAGAAAGTAAAGCCGTTATCACTTACATCATGATATATATTTGTAGTTCTGGTTAATAAAAACTTGTGAGCTCAATCTCTCCCTTCGAGTTCTCTTACCAATTTTTCACTTGTCAATTAGACCTTTTCGAACAGATCCATACCAGAGGATGAGCACTAACGGGACAGGCAGTAGCTCCTCATGGACTAGAGAGCAGGATAAGGCATTTGAGAATGCCCTCGCAATCTTTTCTGAGGAATCCAGTGATCGATGGGAGAAAGTTGCAGCAATGGTCCCCGGGAAAACAGTTGAGGAGATCAAACACCATTATGAGATTTTAGTCGAAGACATCAATGCAATTGAGTCGGATCTTGTCCCTTTGCCTCACTATAAGGATTCTGCGAGTCGTGCAGGTGATTTTGGTGTTGGTGAAGAGGGGAGCCAATTTGGGCAAATGCAAAGTGATTCTCGCCATGGAGGGAAGTCATCAAGATCAGATCAGGAACGGCGAAGGGGAATAGCTTGGACAGAAGAGGAACATAGGTAAGGTTCTATTCATATGTTGTGCTAATTTTCTAGAATATATTCTTAAAGAGCTTTTTGTCAAGCTATGTTGGCTTTTGGTAACTCAAATACCTTCTGATTTTTTAGTCCCCATAGTTTTGTTGAGTTTCGATGAAATGATTTTTCTCTTCCTATTGAAGTTCTTGCATGCGAACCACTGAATTTTGAATGATTTTCCTTGTTTAAAACCTCTTGTTTTTTGATTGTTAAATAAGTTGACATCATAAAAATCGAAGGTCAAGGAATCATTTTCTAGCATATAATTGAAATCTTTGCATGCTGTATGTATATGACAAATTGGGTGTTACAATTTGACTTTAACTGATTACTGCTCTGATTTAATTGCATATCCTGACTTCATCATATGTTAGCTAATGTGACAGCAATTAAAGAAGGTTGCTAAAATTAGAGAACCAAGTAAAGTACTTGCCTACTTGGCTTCAGTGTAATAGAATAAGTGCTGGTTTCAAAAGGCTCAGATATTACTTCTCACTACTTTTTGAAGGGCTTATTTTGTTACTAATTTAACCTCCCTTTTTTTGCCATTTTGGTGCAAGGAGGGAATTGCTGACAAAAAAAATTTAATTTTTACTACTACTGATGATGTAATTGACATACGTGGTGACAGTGAGTTACATTTCTCCACCTCATAACATAAACATTGATGTGGCTTTAAAATAAATATTTTTGGTTGCTTTAGGATTGAAAGATCGTTAAAAGTTTTGGGCAAGTATTAAAACCTTTAAATCTATGTTCCTTTTCCCAACCATCCCTATATATTATACAGCATAACCAAACCTGAAGACTTTATAGATGAGCTGAAAATATGAAAGTCCTTGCTTTTAATTGGTATCGAAGGCAGAGGATCACACTAACAGATCTTTTCTAAAAAAATTCCTTCCAGTCAATTGTTTAATAGTATCGCCCTTCCATTATAGTGGTGGCAAACATATCTAAAGTCTATAGTTTGATTTTTGTTTGTTTATTTTGTGTCAAGGTAACTAAAGCAACAAGAAGTCTTGCGTTTAGTTAAATTAAATGATGAAGTGAGTTTAATTGAAGCTTTTATGACTTTGCTTATATAGAAGTTAAGTTACTGCATCTGTCCTAAGGAAGGAGGCTAATGGGACTAAAACAGTGCATATATGTTTCTCTTCTTTAGTTTTAGAACAACTCAACTCAACTCAAACAGCCTAGTATATACTACTTAAGTTAACAACACAACTTCTTCTGCTATTCCCAAGTCTCTGTACACCAGCACGGTCTCTTTCTCAATAAGACTGGCATGAGGCATTAACATCCGCAGGGGCGACAAACCGAGCAAAATCTTTGTCCTTAGCCACCAAATCACAAGACCCCAAAGTGTCGCTTTGCATTGCTAAAGACTTCACCATACCTAAGCCCTACCTCTTTGACTTAGGTATTGGAGAAATAGTGTGCTATGACCACCATGGAGATGAAACTTGTGTGGTATGATCACCACAGCATCTAAGATAAAGTTTACCACTTGAGTCACGTGGTTTAATTGCTGCAGTACCTCATGCCTGCGCAGCATGAATGCCCTGTTTTTGGGGTTAGGGCACATCTTCTCAAGTATGCTACCCAAGCACAGTTCAGTTGCCATTCTGATGTGTAAAGTACACATCATCATCCGTGTGCAAACCACTTGAAAACATCAGAGAAATATCCACACTTCTCAAGGTAAATCATCTGATGGTCACTACAATCCTTTGAGTTCTGCTAAGCTTGTGTATGGCCATTAGTACTCAGTTTTTTTATTTTTATTTTGTGGGTGTGTGTGTGTGTGGCAATAAACTGTTATACTTTAGTAGGGCCTTGCATCCCAGTTCACTAGCTAGAAGAATCTGATAATGACCTTTTCCTTTTGAATTTTCTCCCAGTATTTCCATATATTCTTTTGGTAGAGTTTTGGGTGATATATACATTCTTATAGATAAATCAATTGTGCTATTGCAATACTGATGTTCCTATTATTGTTACTATATTTGCAAGTCCCTACAGATGTTCTTATGGAATCTTTATTAATTACCAGTATGAAAAATGTGAAATTTATCAGATGACGCGAATTCTAAAATAAAAAACAGTTGATCCACATGATAGCTTGGACAACATCTCTATTTCTATTGGTAGAGTTCTCACATTATTCACTTGGGTTTTGGGATTCTTGCAATTGTTAGGTAGTCTATGTTACAAATTACAATGCATAATACATCACAGATAAAACTACAGTTGACTTGAAATTAGATGGTTTACTACCAGTTTTATGTTCTTTCTGTGCGAGATAGGTTATTTCTTCTCGGCTTGGAGAAGTATGGAAAAGGTGATTGGAAGGGCATATCCCGGAATTTTGTGGTATCTAGAACACCTACGCAAGTGGCGAGCCATGCACAGAAATATTTCATTCGCCAAAGTTCTGCAAACAGAGAAAGGAGGCGGACAAGCATTCATGACATAACCAGTGTCTGTGGAGGAGACACATCATCAACTCCACAAGGGCAAATCACAGGGCAAGTGGATGGAGTGGCTACTATGGCGAAACCAACACTTAGCGATCCTCATCTTATTTCAGCTGTTGGCGTTCCAGTGGATCACCCTTCCTTGGCAGAGATGTTGTCTGATGTCAGAGCACCAACCCCAGGATCACTCGTTTCTGGGACCTCAAAGGACATGCCTCCAATGACTTATCTGCAACCTCATTCATCAGATCAGAAGTGAGAGCTTGTTTGGTTTCATCTTAAGCAGGTTTATCTTAGTATCAGTGGTGTGTTTGTCTGTAGTTATTTTGTCTGGTCTAAGTACTCGAAAAAGGAGTTGTATGAGAGTAGCGTAAACCAGGTAGAGTCGTTCATTTTCTAAATCCCTTTTAAACGGCTGTTGAGCCTTGTTCATGTTTTGCTGAGATTGTGTCATAATTTGCAAGTCTCTTATTTTCTCTAGTTTCGAAAGTTGCATTTAAGAGTATATATGATCATGAGAGCATGTTTTCTGTGGTTGGTTTGTTCAAGAATGCATGATGTGTGATAACAGGTTTTGGTTGGGCAAGTGATTCTGTGTGTTCAAATATAAGCATGTTTGAGCATCATTGGTAAGTTGATTCTCTCTGTTTAGATATAAGCATGCTTTAAATTTATTTATTTATTTATTTATATGTTGTTGTTGTGGTTGTTCTTATTATTTTGGTGAGAAAGAACTTTGCTTTCTGGATTTTGGTAGGCTCTTCTTTCCTTGGTCTCACATTCTTTGAACTTTTAGCTAGGCTCTTATAAAAAACTGTTTCAATTGCTGGATATTATTAGTATACATGTTTTTCATTAAGCTTGTTTAGTTTAGATTAGCAATATATATATATATATATATAATAGAAATAAGGGTTTTGCTGATCCCAACATGTGATGACCAAGTTGTTGACTATTTAACCGAATAGAGAAAACGTTACGAAAATAGTGAGTATTTTTTTTATTTATACTAAATTAATTATTGAAATTTTTTTAGAAACAGAATTAGAATAAAATACTTTTCATTAATGTCATTCAAAAAGTGATTTAAAGAGGTTAATGCTATATGAATAGAATTTTTGGATATAAATTTTATATAAAATGATTTTATAATCAATCATTATTATTGTAATTGTGGTTTATAATTATGCAAATATTATTTCTACATTATTATAAATGAGTTCCATGTTTCCCATTTGAATATGTTGTCCCGATCAAATACGCTCTTCTCTTTCATCCCTTGAGACAACCAATATGCAATTCCATCCATTGCCCTAATTTCTACAGGCATTGAAAAGATTTTTCTTCAATTTGGCTAATTATTTTAGCTAAATTTATGGATTAGTTAACTTCTTGGGGATGCTCTATAACTAAAATCAATGATAACTGTTTGGTAAACTTGAAAACCTTAATGCTAAAAAATAAAATAAAATCATATATCGCTGAATAAACTATTATAAATTTTTTTAATCTCTTTTGTGGATATAGTGAGCATTATGTATATATTATATTTATCATCTAAATTGATATAGATGGTGAAAAAGTCATCCACTGACATTTTTTTTAAAAGAAATAAATTCTTTATAGAGAATGATATTAATTACATTACAATCACATCATTTGAGCCCTGGCCTATAGACCATAGTTTGGTAATCAAATTATCTTATCACAGTCCCTCCAAAATTTAAATAATTTTATACAGTTTCTGAATACATTTGCCACTAATTGAACTTGCGAATTTTCCTTGGTCTTTTCAAGCTTCAATAATTGACAATTGAAAGCACAAAAACTTGAAATATAAAGGCATCAGGCATGAAAAAAGAAAACAAGGCAATATGCCACAATGCAGTATCATTTCTAGCTCGCAACAAAACATGTTAATAATGCATAGCGCAAAGCAGACACCTCTCCCTCAATATATAATGCCTCATAGAAAGGAACTAATCATTAGCCTCTTAAACTAAAGTTAAAAAAAGGAAGCTACACACATAAAATAGACACTTTTGTACTAGGTACTCCAAACAAACCATGACTCTTCTCTTTGAATCCTAAAATATACCAAACTTTGGTATATATATAATAATAAAAAAGATTCAAAAAGAGGCAGAGAGAGAGAAAGGGCTTTATAACTGCATAATCCCCCATTTCAGCAGTCCACTCTAGATTTTCCATCTATGGAAGATCATCAGAGGATCCATCCGGCACATGATTCCGAGGCACCGCAAGAACCTATGGCTCTGCTCATGCCAAGTGGCTCTTCCAAGTCTGATAAAGGCAATCCAGTTGAATACCCACCATTCCGCCGTACCATTCCGGTGATGTACTCAAAACCACCAAAAAGGAGAAGCTGTTGTTTCAAGTGTTTTTGCTGGACAACAAGTCTCCTGATACTCCTAATCGTCATCATTGCCATTGTCACCACTTTCATCTACGTCGTCTTCCAACCAGAGATACCAAAATACTCCATTGACAGCATGCGAATAACTCAATTCAATCTCAACAACGACACGAGCTTGTCTGCGGTGTTAAATGTGAACTTCACTGCTACAAATCCCAACAAGAAGATCGGCATATACTACGAGCATGGTAGCCATATAAGCATGTGGTACGCAGACACACAACTTTGCCAGGGTTTTTTGCCTAAGTTCTACCAGAGTCACCAGAATGTGACAGTGCTCGACGTGGCTTTGACAGGGCAAACGCTGAATGCAACTGATCTGCTGCACTCGATGCAGGAGCAGCAGCAGAGTGGAAGCATTCCGTTGAATCTGAGGGTGAAAGTGCCAGTGAGGATCAACCTTGGGTCATTGAAGCTGATGAAATGGAAGTTCTTGGTCAGGTGCAACCTTGTGGTGGACAGCTTAGCTACTGATAATGTCATTAAAATTAAGAGTAGTAGGTGCAAGTTAAAGTTAAGGCTCTAATTTACTTAATTTTACACTTTTACTAGATATCATTATCATTATAACTTTCTATAATTCAATTAATTTGTAAAATTGTTATTAAAACAAGTGGAGGATTATAATTAATTTCTTTCATCCACCTTATAATTATTTGATGCATGAATAATGAATAAATTTTTAGCTCCTATATGATTCATTTATTCAGAATTCAATTCTACTAGTATATTTTGATTTCATGGAGATTGATATTGTTATGTCAAAAGTTCACTTAAAATGGCCAACTTCTTGAGTCCATGCTCATGGCAGGGATAACTTTTTGCATGAATACCAGATGACAGACCGTCAAGCTTTTCTGTGATGGCTGGAGATGGACACTGACATACTATATACATACCAGCCCTAAACTATTAGACACTGTCATTGGCTAATAATACATTATATATTTAATTCTCTCTTCCTCTGTTTTTGGGACATACAATAACTTCAATCATAGTATGCTACTTGGGGATGAAAAGAGAGCCCAACCTGATGAGCACCAATATCTAGGCCCTACCACCGGGCCATATATAGTTAGTCTCGAGCAACCGTACTACCATAAGGGCAACATGCTAACAAATATGCAAACACCTTCTTTCATTTCATAGCAATCTTATTTTTGTTAACTTGCATTCCTCAATGCATGCTTTTGCAGCTGTTACAAGCTTGGGTTGAGAGAAATAAGTTCATGCAATTTTTCTAGAGCGTCACTCTTAAAACTGCCAATGATGCTACAATTCGAGTAACACAGCTGGTGCAGTCATTAAAGCTCCTGACCATTGGGTCAAGCCATGATCACCAACTTGGGATCGAGTCCAAGGAACCCCTTCCCCCATCACCCCTTCCCCACTCCCTTGAAGGGGAAAAGAAGAAAGAGCCATGCAGTCTATTCTACTTCTTTCGCATTGTCTAACAAATAATCAACACCAAACTCTATGTTCTCAATAATTTCTAGGTCATTTTCTTCCTAATTATTTTTCTTTCACTTTAAATGGAATAGGAATTTTAAGTTGGTTCCTAGCAGAATTAGAAGTTTCAGTGCATCCATGGATGAAAATAATCTAAAACACGCATATTGTATCAACTACAAGTCTACAACATATATAAACTACCCTATTGTAAATATACTTCAAGTTTCAGGTGGACACAATCAAGTTGGGTTGGGGGAGAAAAAATAACAAACTCAGATATCTATCAGGCCAGGTTGGAGAGCATCATGGTGTTCATTAGGCTAGGCTATCAAGAACAGGAATCCCGTGAAGCTTTCTTTTTAACACCATGAACATTCCATGGTGTTTACATTCCACAATGCTACCCAGGGATCTCACCCCACTCCTATACAGCCTTCTGCACAGAGCCCAAATAAATATGGAGAGAGAGAGAGAGCAAGCACACACACACACCAACAACTATTCCATAGTTTAGCTAATCAAAGTTTGTGTGAACATGATATCTGCAAAATGTGCTAGATTTCTCCCCCCACCCCCTCCCCCTCCCAAATTTTCCTTAGCTCATTAAACCAAAAATAAAGCAAAAGATAAGAAACAAATAGGACATTAATCTAATGGTATAGAGTCATCCAATATTTGTAACCACTAACCAGTGCAACACATATTACAGTTTCTTAGTATCTTAAAAGATATTCCAATCATTTTACTCTTTAAAATCCAGTTCAAGCATAGTCACCCTTACAACACTCAATAAAGGCATGCTCATACCATGCTGCTCATCAATGGATAACAGGCTTTAGTGGATGAGCTCTTAGTTTGGACAAATCTAGGCTGGCATCCAACTCTTCATCTAGTTCCCCCACAATGCTTCTGCAAACAGAGAAAGGTAAGAACGGAGAAATTCAGTTATGCAAAAAAGAAAATAAATGTACTGATTAACATCTAAATAACAAAGTGAATTATAAAACACCCCATACATGTTGTCACCCCTAATGATGTATAGGCCTAACACAAGTTGTTGGACACCTTCCTGCAAATCAGAGTAAAGGTCAGTACTGATAAATGCAATTGAATTTGTGAATAAATTACAGGATGTTAAAATTAAAAATGGAAACAAAAAAAGAAAAAGAAAAAGATAGAATACATCAGTTTTAACGTCTACTTGTAAGAGGGGGGAGAGGATAATAAACTTCGATGATTGTACAACTGAACAGCCAGTGAAATATGCAGAACAGCATAAAGAAAATGGTATAGTAAACTTCACTTGCCACTATCATAACTCACTCTATTACCAATTATAACCCCCCAACCCAAGGGGAACACAACGACCCAAAAATAACTAATAAAATAAGAAGCACAAATATAGATATGGGACACAGATACAACAGGGACATGGAAATTTTCAAAAAAATCAGGACACAGGACAACAGGGACACTGGCAATACATAAATATATATTTTTATATGCATAATTGAAAATAACCATTACTTCGTTTTTAAAACAAACATATACACATACACATACACATTTATATATTATTATATCAAAATAGAAAGGAATCATTGTCACCTAATGACAAAGTGTGAACAGTTCTAATATCTATGCTAGAAAACTACCATAAATCATAAACAAATTACGAGTTTCTAAATTTTAAAAATATAAAGGATGGGGGATTGATAGATAAAATCCGTATATATATATAGATATTTTAAATTTTACTATTGGATCCCAAGTTATTTTCTACAAACTTGCAATGTTTTTAGTTCCTGAGCGGGACACATGTGTTCCAAAGAGTCTGAACCCTGTCTGCTTCTTAAAAGTAAAAATATAATACAACATATTTGGATGTGTGTCTAGCAAATGTTAGGATTGCCCAACAAGTGTCGGTGTCCAACACAAACACAGACAGAACCTTCCTAAAGTGCTTGTGCTTCTTAAGTAAATAAGTAGAAACACAAAACAAACACAAAACAATTAAAGAAAAAAAATGTCTCCCAATGAGGCAAGCATCATAAGGAATCACAAAGCCCACGATCCACATCAAACTGATCTAGGAGAATTCAAGATTTCTAACTTTTTGGTTTTTCTTATTATATCATTGGATCTCAATTTACTTTCTATAAACTAGCAATGTGTTTAGTGTGTATAAATGATAGTGATGTGTGTTCCAGAGTGTCCAAACTGTGTACAATTCTTCAAATTTTTAATTTATTTTTAATAAAGAATTGGATATATTTTGACATTTCTCTAACAGGTGTTAGGAGTGTCCAACAAGAGAAAAAGAGATTTCCAAATGACCAAATAAAAAGAGAAAATTTTGTACAATTCAATTCCAGTCTCAATAAAAAGTATAAAAAATAAATTGAAATAAATTTGGAATTACACTATGACACAGAAAGAGAACAACAATTCATAAACATATGCATGATGCTTTCTACTTGAACTGATTCAAACCTTGGTGGAGTAAACACGTTCATGAGATTCATCAAGAATTATATTTGTTGCTTGGTCAAAACCTTTTAGAACTCCCTGAAGAAAAAACATTAGTAGTCAGTACAACAATTAATTATTTTACGAAATTTATGAGGCTCAAACTATGACCTCACCACTATGTTGCGCCCATCATTTGTGATGACTGAAATTGTTTCTATAAAAAAGCAACGAAATTAAAATTAGGTCAAACAATTGCTTATTCCGCAAACAAAATTATGTATTTGGGACAAAGTCAACATCATTCAGGCCACACATAATCAAAAATTGCCAGACTACACGCGCTTTTTTTTTTTTTTGAGACAAAAAAGGAACATATATTAGAACAGGTTCAAGGATTGCATACGATCTACAAGAGATTCAAGACCAGTCTCGCTTGACATTTTGTGAACTCAACAAATACTAGCTGAATTCTTTCACAGATTGATGGTCACAACTTCACAAAAACTGCAGCAAAAGAAAAGAAATCAAGTTACATTTTTAAGAAATTTGGTATATGGTACAAGTAGAAAATTTTAGCATGATGAAACACAAAAATAAATAAACAAATAAATCAATAAACAGTAACTAATAAAAAAAATAAAATCTTTTTTTTCATCTCTGTCACAGTAATAATTCACTTCTTTGCTTATTCATGCATTTGCATATAGCCTAATTTACCTTTATGCAAAGTCATCCCCTCGACCAAAACAACAATTTTTTTTATAGATATTTTCTATTAAGATGTAAGAAGTCGAAATAGTGGGATAAATTTAATCCCGATCAAGCATAAACAAAAAGGGTTAAAACCCATTTATTGACAGGAAATTCATGACACAATTCAGTTGATATACTCTACTAAAATCTGCAATAAACCTGCACGAACTCACAACAAAGAAAGTTCAAGAAAAACAAGATGGAAAAAAAAAAAAATTGTCGGAACCCAAATAACAATAACAATATATCAATTTACTAGTGACAGATATAATTAAATTTAAGGATAAAAATGATTGAGAAATGTGACTCAGCCTATTGATACATAACTATTTTGAGTTAGGTTTAGGAATTTTATCGAATACTTGGCGTGTCAATGAAAGAAAAGTGTGCACTTCTGAAGTGCGAGTGTGGAGTGCGATGAAAATTGTGAAAGGAGATGAGTGAGAGAAGATCAGACTATACAAACACACCCACCTTGTACAGAGAGAAGAAGAACAACTTGAAGAAGACAGTCGACGCTTTGGGGGTTTCAAGTCGATGATTTTGGCGCTATGGCTCTTGTTTCGGAACTGCATTAGGCATTCGCAAATTTTCTATTTACACCGCCTAAACCTTCTACACCCATTTTCAAAAAATTGGCTAAATTACACTGAGGTCCCCTGAGTTTTTGTTTGATACAAATTCTTTCTCACATTTAAAAAATTACATTTACTTCCTGTCAGATTAAAATAATATATTTATCTCTTAATCTTTATACATATAAAATAATAAAATAATACCAATATTTTGTTTATGTCATTTCAAGAGACATAACAATCATTTTCTTTGATTTAACTTGCACAAAAAATTAAATTTTTTACTTTTTAGGTTTTTAAATTTTTGCTGACTTTTTTTTTAATATTTTAAGCAATTTTTATTTTTATTTTTTAAATATACCTAACCTAGATATACTTAAGAAGTAAATATTTTGTATTTTTTTTTAAAAATTCACTAAATACAAAAAAATATAAAAATATAAAAAATTCAGTAGTACTGCAATAAATGTGAATGACATTGTTTGGTAATACTGTATTAAATGTGGGTGCATAGACGAGAAAGAAAAATAATGGTGAAAATAAAAATGAAATTTTTTATCTATATATAAGAATTTACACAAAAAATATCATAAAAATATTGTGATAGTGATATTATTGTAAATATAAATCATATCTATGAATGTTTTGTTTTAAAGTGAAAGACCACCATTAAGCTATATCATTGTGTTTGAAAATTTTATAAAAAATTTATGTTTATATATCATCACTCAATAAGAATATGTTCAGGTGGAATTTAATGATGAAAAGTTGTAAAATGTAGTTGTAATGATAGAAATAAGAAATGGTTGGAAAAAGGGCAAAATGGTCATTTAAAAATTTTTAAGGCATGATATTAGCAATCCAGTGTATAATTTGTAATGAGATTATAAACCTCAAGAAGAAAAATGTAATTTTTCAAACGTGAGAAAAGATCTATATTAAACATAAGTCTCAAGGGGGTGTCAGTGTAATTTATCCTAAAAAATTTATACTAATAACTTTTTTTTCTTTTTATTTTTCTTTTATTGGTAAAAATTATAAAAAATAAAAAATATAACAAAATAAATTTTGAGTTTCTAATTTCATCAATTTAAATTTGAATTTAAATTTTTTGATTTATTTCAATTTAAATTATAAAATTAATGAAAATCAAATAAAAAAATATTTTATGACATTTTCAATATACTTATATTAAATTTAATGATTAAAATATTTAATATTTAATATTTAAAACATTAAAACTTACAATTGTTTACTGGAATGAAGCAAACAGTTCTTCAAAATACATAGCTTAAAAGCAATTAAAATTACAAAGATAGCTATTCTTGATGAAGGAATGCTCTCAATTTTTTTTAGCCCCACCTTATTCTTGACTGAAGAGGCTCTTTTATAATCAAAAGCGACTCCTGTTAGTCTTGTGAGTGAATGATCTTGACTTGAAAGGAGCATTAGGAGCACATGAGAGCTGTCTGCTGCCTTCGGTGAGTAACTAAAGTTGATGGTTGCCTTTTACTGTATTGAATTTGTCTGTTGGATGAATCATGATGAATGAGGAATAGTAATGTTGACTTTTTGATGAATAGTGAACAGTAAAGTTGACTGAGGGAATCAATATAGATATATATATATCAGCAGCTTTTCTCAAAAGACGAGTATTGATTGAAACTGATAATTATAGCTATATAGAATCCAATAACTGAATTAAGCATATGGGTCCTGAGCATCTTAAAATTGGGACCCATAAGGATCCTGATTAGTTGAACCTTCAAAAGAGTTTGAATTGTTTTCTGAATCACTATTATCCGAATTTGACTTGGCTTGGGCCATAAGGAGACGAGTCATTTGAAGAAGCTCATCCTTGGATGACTTGGATTTAGGCTTAACCTTGGACTTGGATTTTTTTTTTTGATTTGGGCTGATCAGTGATGGACTTTGCTGACTTGGACTTAAGCTTTGACTTAGATGACTTGGGCTTGGAAGAACTAGATGTTGGGCTTCCAAGATTGACTGGAGGAAGTTGGCTTCCATGTGTTAATGGAGCAGCTGGGATCTACTGAGCTTTAACCATAGCAGGAGTTGGAGCATGTATGTTGATTGGGAATTCAGTTTGAACAATTTCCATGATGCGTGGAATTTTGAAATTATCCTACCATTTAACACTACAAGAAATATTGGTTATGCCGGCGTTTATAAAGTAATGTTTTGAAAAATACTACAGAAAAGGTGGCGCTTTTTTCAAAAAATGTCATGGCACCCCGTACAAAGAGGAAACCTGTTGTGCTTTTCAACATATACTCAAATAAAAAAAATATTTTACAAAATCCCTCTCTCATAAAAAGAAGCGTAAGTGAGAGATCAGGGTTTTTATTTTTTAGTGAGAGAAAGTTTGCAAGAATGGCATCTAGGGTTTGGATCTGTTGATTTTTCTTCGATTTCTCAGTAATCATTTTATTCAGGCTTTGGATCTATGTGTTCTTCAATTTCTCTCTAATTGATTTGCGATTTGCCTTTGAAAGCGAGGAGTTATAGATCAATCCAACTTTTCTGAAACTATTGGTTCGATTTCTACACTTCACCGTAACTATTAAATTGAGTTTGTTTTGATCTCCCTTTGTCGTGTTTCTTGATCGATTTCTGTCAGCTAATCTATTAAAATCTGTATGTATCAATTTCTTGTTCTTGCTTGGGGTTTGTCTGATTAGAAACCTGATCTCGAGAACTCAAAGCTTGTTAGGGTTTTTGCTAATTTCTCTTAGAAATACAGGGATCTGATCTCAAAACTTGTATTTGGTGCTCTATTTGCGTTGAATCGATCTCGATGTTCTCATGGTTCAAGAAGAAGAGGCCTTTTAGAACTTACAGGTTTGATCTCGAAACCTGTGTTCCGATGGTTCGAGAATGAGAGGTGTCTCTCTCTCTCTCTCTCTCATAGTTTGCATAATTGATTTGATATAATCAACCAAATTTTTCTGATAGTTCTTCTAGTTGGAATTATTGCTTCTCAATATTTTTGTGATTTGTTATTTTAGCAGGGATTTTCCAGATTTATTTATTTATTTGCAATGAGATTGGTCCCACCAAGCCTGATCTGTTCTTCCAAAAAGAGTCCAATCCACTCAAGTACCACTTTCTCTTCTTCTTCTTCTACTTCTTCTTCTTCTACTATTTATTTATTTATTTATGCTATTATTTTTCTCACGTTGGTTTTCTCTTTTCTTCTTGGATATTGATTAGTGTAAACTGTTTTTTTTTTTTCTTCTTTTGCAGATCGATGTGGTACTTTAACTGGTTTTAGTAATGAGGAACTTATTTGGGTTGCAGTTCCAAGTTGTTTCATTATTCATTGTGTGGAAAACATTAAATGTGCAGGATGATTTCTAGTCTCTCTGATTCATTCTCTTCTCTATTCTTTATGATTTCAATGCAATATACAACGCAGATATATCTTTTGCTTTCATTGTAATATGTATAAAAACTTCATTATAATCTTGGTTGGAGATTTTTTATATGTACATGAAAGGTGATGCTTTTATGGATTTTGATTTGTTTGTGAGGATTCACTAATACCACACAATTGTAATTTGGTTATTGCAATGCCTAGATCTTGGATGAACGTTAGAGGTATCCCTGTTTCTCTTATTGATCACATTGGAGGTACCCCCATTTCTCTTATCTCTCCTATCATGGATGAACCTTTATGGCCCAATGGTTTTTATATGCATCTTAAAGGATGTCCTTGGCAACTTTTTTCTATGGTAAGACATTTTGCGTTCCTTTTATTTGTGTATCACAAATATGAATATTTGGTTCCTTTCAGAGGGTTCAAACGACTCAACTTTTTATTGGGTTCTTTTAATGATGTTTATCTTCCATTTGTTTCATGTGTAATAAACATTTGAATTTTTGTTGTTAATATTGATTGCAATTTCCGCACCTCTAAAATACTAAGTATATTTCTTGAGAAAAGATTGTCTTCTTGTTAAGAGATTGACATTGGATTGAATCTGTGTTTCTGTTTTGTATTTGACTGGGTTTAAAATAGTCACAACTACATGTTGCAGGTATATATATACATAAATTACTTTTTTCAAACCTAGCAGAAACTAGGACTTGTTCTTCTCATGGCTAGTGAGTTTGTTCACTATTTGTATTGTACAGATCTCATTTTCAACTCTATTTGAAGTACAATGATTCAATCTCCGTTGACAGTGTTTTAGTTACGATATTTTATCTTACTTTTTTCATCATGACTTGCAATATTGTTTTGTCCTTTGATGTTGTTAGGGGTAATACAACACTGGATAGTTTGTCCAGCCTATGACTGTTGTCTTGTGTTAAATATGTTTCTTAATTTTTGTAACCATCCCCTGTTTGAAGATGTTTTCAAATTTTGTACTTCATATTAATTAAAATTCACAGTTTGTGCTAACCTCACCTCACTGAATTTTAGCTATTCTATACTTCTAATTTTGATGGTACTTCATCACAAATTTGTTTGTAGATAGGAGGTTTAAAGTGTCATGCACTATGATATTTTCTTTCTTGGTTCTTTGTATCTTTTATATCCTTTTTCTTTGAACTAGAGTAGAGCATACAAAATAATGTACTCATGTTTTGTGGGTATAGCTTTAATTTTTGATAGAAAGCATAGTGCTTCAAGATTTTATATAGAGGAATACTTCCTAACAACTTGTCATAACCCCTCTCTTGGTAGCAGCTAAGAAGTTTATCTCCCGAGGATATGCTATGCTATTTCAAAGAAGATTATCACCTCTTGATCCAGGTATGAATTGAAGATTATCTACTCTATTTCATATTTTGATGATTTCAAGTTGCTGTCCTTAATCTTTAGAATTTCCAAATATGCATTGTTGTATTACAATAAATAATATATTCATGGTGTTACTGTTGGTACCTAATAATTTATTAAGGATCAATTTAAATGTTGCATCTGAGATTGTTAATGTTAATTGTTTCTCTAATAATGTACTATGTGCTTATGGATCTTATCTTGGCAACACGTTTCACTTTTTTTTTCCAGGTTTTTTTGTTTTTGTAAATTGATACGGTTTATTTTCCTAAAGCTTCTGACACACAAATGTTATGTGAACAATGTGAGTTAACTTATTTGTGACCAAATAACACATTTACAAGTGGAGGTTCACTTGTGAAATTATGATTCAATCAGGAATTTATCAAATGGTTTCATGACAGAAGAGAGCTCTCCTGATGCTGCATCAGAGGAGTTGGTATGATTTGTTCTACTAGAGTTCATTTATTTATTATTTATGATTTTTGATGCTATTGTAGAAATATATAAAATTGATACTGATATGGATTCTTATTAATTTACAGGGTAATGAGTACTTTAAATCGAAGTTTGAATAAGCAATTGATAGCTATTCTAGGAGCGTTGCATTATGACCAATTGTAGTAGCCTGTGCAAATAAGGGAATGGCTTATCTGAAAATAAGAAGGCAAGTTCTTCTAGATGAGAAGATATTTTATATAAACAGTAAAGGAATGTGGCACAACATGATAGAGGATAGAAAAATGCTTGGAATTCCCAATTTTGGGGACCCCCACAACTCTCAAAGTGATCTCAACCATTCATGTATGTGTAGAGCCCACTCATGTATGTGTGGGACTTACACCATGAATGGTTGAAATCACTTCGGGGGTTGTGAGGGTTCCCAAAATTGGGGGTCTCAATTATTGTTGTAGAGGATATCAACTATAAGATTTATTTATTTTTTGATAAATCAGCTAGAAGATTTGGTGCTTCCTCCACCCTATTGTTAATATCTGGGACTTTTGGACCATAATAAGTGATCAGAAAGTTATAGTAACCTAATTTCTAATTTCATGCACATGACTTCTGGAGAATCTTATAATAAAAAATATGGTACTTTTTATAATAAAAAAAATGTAATTTTATCTTTCCACCTTCAATTTTGACAGGAAAGTTATGTTCTTTGTGGAGACAAATGAGAGAAGCTCTACTAGGAATGATTTTATTTCCACATTGACACATGTAGGGACAAATGAGAGACAGGAAAGTTATGTTCTTTGTGGAGACAAATGAGAGAAGCTCTACTACGAAGGATTTTATTTCCACATTGACACATGTAGGGACAAATGAGAGAAGCTCTACTAGGAAGGACTTCATTTTCACATATGTCAACACAAAAGGACTGTTACTCTACAACTGAAGAACTGGTGGCTTGATGTCTTTCCCAAGGCCATCTCAATATTCATTTTACATCAATGTTCCAAGTTTTTATTTTTTTATTTTAATTTTTTTAAGATGTGTAACTCATAAATTTTATTTTTTATTTTTTTATTTTTTTTAGTCTCGATATAGTTTTCAAAAGAGACGAATGATATCAGGAGAAACAAATTTGAAAAATTATATATAGTGACATTTTCTGTAAACGTCAGTGAAAGTTCAAGTATTTGCAGAGATTGCTGCATAAGAATGTAACAGCGTTTAATGAAAAATGTCGGTGAAAGTTATTAGCGGCGTTGACGTAAACGTCAGTAAAAGTAATTAGCGGCGTTTATCAAAAATCTCACGAAGTTATGGCGACGACCGTATCCTCGACGAATGGTAAAAACGCCACAATAACTTTTAGCGACATTTTTTGAGTCTGTACCGACGTTTTTAAAATGCTACTAATTCCTATTTTTCTTGCAGTGTAACCATGTGTTGACGGTAAATAACATCGTCAGAAATACCATATTTCCATTTGAATATTCAAGGGATTTTGTATTTGGATATAAAAATAAGCAATTGAGGGAATTTCTTTTGCTGAGGAGTGAATGAGAAAACAATGGAGAAATAATTGACTTGTTCCATAATTACAGATGGGAAGATTTCTGAAATGGCGCCATACTGAGTCCACCATTGCAGAAACCAGGTAGGTAACTCGGATTTGAACTTTTGATCAAATTGAAGAAACCAAGAGTGACTGTTTGACCCATTTTGATACAAGAGGACTTTAAAACCAAGCATCAATGTAATCATAGTAACTGTATTGAATTGAATGACTAGGCAAATCTCGTAGTTGGTAAGGAGAACCCCAATCAACCAGAAAAACAAAGTTGTGAATATAGAGTGAATGGTACACAATTTTACTTATGTAAGTGCGATCATAAATGGGTTTAATCACAATTGACTGATGGTTGAACATGATGTCTTTATAGAAAGTAATTGTTTTTTCTGGATAGAGAGGAATAAAATGTCGTCCAGAAGGGAAATAAGATTTAACCAAATCATGAACAGTATGACTCTTTGGGTGACTAGGTTCTTTGAAAAGGAGATTAGTAGTGATGGATTTAACATAATCAGATCAGACTAATTTAATAGGATTATGAGGGTATGGAGTAACTGCTTGACTAGATGAAGTAAAAGGATCAGTAGCCAAAGCAGATGTATAACTAGGTTTAGGAATGTTACCAAGAATTTGGTAACGGTTAACCAATTCAGCAGAATGGTATTGGGTGACTAGCTCCAAAGGAGGAGGAACAAAAGGTTGACTAGAAGGCACAAGAGCCTTGTTGGATGGTCGCAAAGGTCTTTGATGAGACATTTGTAAAATAGGTGATTGTAAATCAGCATCCACTGAGGATATCTAATTGGTCAGTATGAGAATACAAACAGTTAAGATAATGTGCAAGTTGTTGTCTTTGAGCTTTAATACGATGGTATTGAATGTATTGAGCACTTTTAGTGGGTGAATGGGTTGATTTGAGAAAGGCATGGCGAGAAACAGTATGTTTGACTAAGGTTTTATAGTGTTTAATATGGTGTTTATGGGAAGGCATGGAGGGAATTGGCATGATATAACTCACTATCCACCCTGTAAAAATTCTCTGGTAAAAAAATCAGGAATAGAATTTTGACAACCAAGTATATATTCAATGTCAAAATCAAAAATACTTAAAATAGATTGCCAACGAGCAAAAATTTGCTTACTAGCAAGATTTTGAACATCTTTTTCTAAAACATACCTAGCAAATTTACAATCAACACGAAGTAAAAATTTTTGATTTAAAATATCATCTTGAAATTTACTAATACATAAAACAGTAGATAAAATCTCTTATTTAATAATATTATAATTCTTTTGTGCTTTATTCCAAACACCAGAATGAAATCGAACAATTTGTTCAGATGGCTGAAGAGTGATTTTTTGGAGAAGGATGCCACCATAACCAATATCAGAGGCATCGGTTTGAATAATTTTGAAGGAATTTTCAGTAGGAATACCAAGACAAGAAAGAGACTTGGCATATTGTTTGAGCTGTTTAACAATAGCAGTATGAGTAGGAGATCAAGGGGGAGGATTGTCTTTTAACCGATCAAATGAGGGTTGACAAGTTTTCCTAAGGTCTTTATAAAATTCAACAATATAATTAAGGGATCCTAGAAAACGATGTAACTGGGTTTTTTCGAGAAAGGGAATTGTAAGATGATTTATGTTTATGGTACTTATGTTTTTTACGATGAGAAAGGGCAACAGGAGGTAAGCCATATTGTTCACAAAAATTACCTAATTCGTATTTAGCCTTATGTTTATCTTTAGTAGCTTTTTGACTAAATTTTAAGTCAATACACATTCTTAGGCCTTCTTTTTGAATAGTACTAATAATGTCACCACAACTTAAGTTATCATATTCAATAACACCTGTAGGTTGACTAAGAACATCTCTAATTTTATGAGCAAAAAGACTAGGTAAGCCATTAATAAATTTTTCTTTCCAAAGAGATTTAGTACAATTTTCTCTTAACATAACTCTAGAGGTAAAGACATATTTATACCATCGAAAATCACTTAAGGTTGGACAAGTGAGATTACTAAGTTGATCATGCATGCGAGAATAGATATTAGTAGGTGTTCCTATAAAATGGCGAACTATGGTGTAGATTAATGTATTTATACCGTCAGGTTTATAATAGCCAATAGTTTCATCAAAGATAGGGAAATCATTTTCATCTTTTTGACTTGCATGTAAAATAGATTCTCTTTGATCTTCAGTTAGATATTTTTCCCACCAAGATTTGAGTATACCAGTAAAGCCAGAAGTAATTAAGGAAACAATTTCAGGTTGAGTACAATCAGGGTAGTTACTAAGATAACTATTTGCAACCATAGATAAATGATTTAATTTTTGAAGTATTTGATCTTCACTGAGACCATCAATATTCCATTCGTATAATTTTTTAGCAGATACAGAAAATTGATTACTAAGATTAGTTTCTTCATATTGGAGATCAGGGGGAGTAGGTCTTGAATACCATTTTTTTGTGAGCGTTATAAGATTAGGTTTAGGATAATGAAGTTTATTCAGAGTAGTTGATTGAAATTGTTGAGCTAAATTATTAATTTCATTATCAGTTGTGTTAGGGTCTGAATAAATAGAAACAGATTCAAGAGTAGAATGTTGGTTTAATACAATACAACCTTTCTCAGTAGATGGAGAAGCTTTTTCAGAGGTAGCTAATTTAGTAAATAATTGTTCACTGGCTTGACAGTAGAATTATCTTGGGTGACTAAACTATTACGTTCAGAATGGTTACTAAGTAAATTAAGCAATGGTTGGTCTAAAGATTATTTAGTAGATGTATTGTTAGCCGAATAATCATCTAAATTGGTTTCTATTTTATCTAATTGTTTACCAATTGTTTTTAAACATTGATGTCACGACCCAAACTCGCCCTTATGGGTTTAGTACCGTAACCGGCCAGTAATCCGAGATTACCGAAGGCCCGCTTAACAGTTAGACAATAATACAGAGTACAGGGGCATGACGGAAGCCAAAACAGTAAATAGATAATGTCCAATGAGCTGTGACAGCCTGTATGCAAAAAGACTTTTCATACATATATACAATCGTGCAAAACAGTATGTACAACATTTACAATCTTTCAGGACAGAGACTTAATCCCTATTAAGACAATACAGTAACAGTGTAAACAGTCCATACAAAACAGAACAGAAATAGGGAAACTAAAACACCCCATAGCCTTAGCTTGAACGGACTCGGAACCTCGCAGTGAGGCACCTAGGTTGGCTTGACAAAACTGGAGTTTACCCCGACGCTTCTAGCAACGGTTCGGTGCCTGTACACCTACATATATATATGAGCAGTGAGCTAAAGCCCAGTGAATAACATAATGCGTAAAGAGGTTAAGAATGAATGTCCTTACAGTATTGAAAACAATCATTTCAATCAGTATATCAGTTATTCAATCATTACAGTCATATATGGTACATCTAGTAGCAAAACAGTGCAGTAGGTCTTATCAGACCGAACAGTTAGTTGATGGCAATCATATCAGTAAACAGTAGTGGTTCCAACATGGGAACCGACAGAGATCTCCGTGACAGTAGCAGTACAATACAGTAACAATAGG